GTTGACCGTTTATCCTTTAATGATGTCGCCGGAGATGTTCTTGAAGAAGAATCCAAGCGTAAAAATAAGGAAGATCGACAAGAAAACTCAATACGAATAGAAGCTTTGACGATTACGAGAGGTAGATCACTGAAACATGGTCCCAGTAGGAGTCAAAATCATGGTAGATCAAAATCTCAAAGAAGAACAAACCTAAAATGTTACAACTGTGGCAAGAGAAGGCACTTGAAGAAAGAATGTTGGTTCAACAAGAAGAATGGTGAGAAGTCTTCTAAAGCAAGTACATCTCAACGATGTATTGCTAGTACCTCTGATGATGGAGAAATCCTTTACAGGAAAGCAATAATTAGTATCAAAGGCAAAATCCAACTCACTGATGGTTGGATAGTAGATTCAGGAGCAACATGACACATGACTCCACGGCGAGACTCATTTTGCACTTAGGAACCCATCTCGGAAGGACATGTATTGATGGGGAATGACCACTAGTAGAAAAAATACTTTATAGTAGAGGTTGTTAAGTCAGTTCACCTGCCACCTGACTTAAGAAATAATGCGGTGACAATTTCGTAAATATTTATAACATTGTTAGGTCAATTACATTTAGAACTGACTTAAAAAAAATAAAAAAAATATAATTCGTATTAAATTTCTTAAGTCGTCTGTGTTCATTAACTGACTTAAAAAACATATTTATTAAGTCAAGTATTGCCCACCTGACCTAAGACGTTTTATTCAAACCCTTCTCTCACTACAAACCCTTCTTCTTCATAACAAACCGTTCCACCGCACCATTTCCAACACACCGTTTCCAACTTCGTTCTCTCCTCCTCTAACTCTCCACCTCATCACCCAAATATTTCCTTCATCAATCCCTTAACCATCACCTGCGACACCCTTTCCTTTTCTCTATTTCCTCTCATATCCTCTACCCTAAAAGCTCCACCTTCCCTCCACCATGACAACAACCCACGCCTCTCTTCACTTCTCTATCGAAAATCAACTACCATCATATTTTCTCCAACTAAACCGAAATCAGAGTAGCCATGTTGCTTCGCCGTTTGCCGTGAACGGCGGTTTCCGCTGCTGCACCAATTCCACTGCATTCTTCCATTAAAGTTTTCACTTCCATTCCAAAGTAACTCGCCTTCTCCCCTTTATCATTCTGCTCCACCTTTGACCTCCACCTGCGCACCTCTATTTATTTATCTTATTTCAATTGCTTCTATTATGCAGGAAGTCGAGCTAGTTGAGATACACGAAGTTTTGCGATGTAAAATTTCCATAACTCACTCTTGTTTTCGTTTGAATTTTGAATTGGATAAATATTTTCTTGATTATTTTGAGTACTGGTGTTGTATGTATATTGCACATGATCATGTTTCACCGAGCGTATGTTCCTGCGCGTCTAAAAGATCTACACATGGAACTCTGTGATATCACCTATGTACGTTTTTAATTTCAATTTTTTTTTGTTTCTATCACGATCATGGATGCTTTAATCATATAGAGAATATTTGAATGTAGGTTCAATGTGAAGAGGCTGAGGTTGAAAAGAAAATAGAAGAGAAAATTGAGGAGTTTCTTGATTGGTTGGTGAAAAATCCAGTCAAAAAGAGTCAGGTTAGGTATTTTCTTGTGGATTGAAAATAAGTAAGAGTTTTTTCTTATAGGGATTTGAATTTAACAATGCAGATATGCTTATCTTTCTATGAGGTTAAGAACAAAAAGAAATTTTGGTTCATAAATAGGACTGAGCGTTTGTATTTTGAGCATTGGTATATAAATTTGAATCTGATATCAAATTCAACCGAGTATCGTCATTCTTGCGAAGGTGCAGTTGCTTCCATGTTTGATAGGCAAATCTTTTTTATATTTCACTCTTATTATACAATGAGTTTCTTCTGACTCCCTCATTCTTTATTTGTTATTTTGTCTCTATTGCCCATTTATCATGAGTAGATGGATCATTGGAGGCTAATATTGCCCGAAGGGAAGCACTTGAAGAATCGATACGTAATGTTTTGTTTCAAATAATCGATTTCGTCACCAAGGAGGACGATAATGTTCCACCAATACCAAATTTTGATGATGTTATTTCGTTTCCATATGAAATTACAATACCTAGGTGAGCTGTGTATACTTTCTAATATATCCTTTGTGATTATGCATCTCATATTTTCTTTTTTATATTCTCATATCTTTGATTCTGAATAATTGTTCTGCTTTGTTGGATGTTGTTTGTAATTGTGATGTGAAGTTAAGGTGTAATTTAAGTGTAACATCATATTATAAGTTGCATAATTATGGTATCACTTGAGCCATGTTTGAAGAATTTGTTGTAAATGGATTTAATCTTTTATTGCAAAGTATAATTTTAATGCACACCCTACTGTCAAACCAATTTAAGTATTTTTGAAAACTGTTTTCAGAATATTTAGTCACATAATTTAAGATCTAAGAAGTACTGCATCAGTTTACTGTTTTTAGAGAACTTAAACTTTGCTGAAACAAACTCTGCCTCATTGCCATCATTTTCTTGATTTAATTAACTTGTTGGGGGTGTTGGGATGTGAATGTCCTATCTTAAGTGTTTGGTGGATAATTGTATGGAAGTTGGTGCTCAATTCTATTTTGAAAGAACTGCTAGATGATTTTATGTTGATTGAAATTAGTGTTAGGAGAAAATTTGTACTGACACTTAATTTGTATTGGTGATATTGTGTTATCCATCTATGAAGCACGAAGACTAGCACGTCAACACCGCTAATGCCAAAGACGTAGAACACTGACACAGCTGCATATATGGTAATATTTCCTCTTCATTTATTCATCTACTATTGAAAAAGTTAAAAATGTTCTTATCAAATTTAATGTCTTTAAATGGATTTTCTTCATAGGTTGTAAGACAAATGTTGGATACCGCGACACAATTAGTCGTAGAGATTCTCGCATTTCACTTTTATCCATAGGTTGTAATTTAATTTAAGTGTAGAATTTTTTTATCATACACATTACACTGATCAGAATACCCATTCCATTATTGGTTTCGTTGTTTTTCTGATCCTTTTGTGAGGAATCATAACACATAAAGATGTAGTAAACTAGTACATTTGATCATTTAAAAAATGCAAGCCTTATGAAAGTCTTATACTTAAGTGGATTTTCTTCATAGGTTGTAATACAAATGTCGGATACCGCGCCACAGTTAGTCGTAGAGATTCTCGCATTTCACTTTTATCCATAGGTTGTAATTTAATTTAAGTGTAGAATTTTTTTATCATACACATTACACTGATCAGAATACCCACTCCATTATTGGTTTCGTTGTTTTTCTGATCCTTTTGTGAGGAATCATAGCACATCAAGATGTAGTAAACTAGTACATTTGATCATTTAAACAATGCAAGTCTTATGCAAGTCTTATACTTAAATGGATTTTCTTCATAGGTTGTAATACAAATGTCGGATACCGCGACACAGTTAGTCGTAGAGATTCTCGCATTTCACTTTTATCCATAGGTTGTAATTTAATTTAAGTGTAGAATTTTTTTATCATACACATTACACTGATCAGAATACCCACTCCATTATCGGTTTCGTAGTTTTTCTGATCCTTTTGTGAGGAATCATAGCACATAAAGATGTAGTAAACTAGTACATTTGATCATTTAAACAATGCAAGTCTTATGCTTCTACAACACTGTGATCCCATTAGCATACTTTTATGGAATATGGAGTAAAAAACTAAACTTTGATAGCTTAAGCAGAAAGGAAAGTGATAGTGGGTCTTAGTTGGACCAATTGAAAAGAGTGGCGTAAACTCATAATCAAAATTTAACTTTGACTGGCCAATATAAGCCGCAATTGTCTCATAAAGCTGAGATTTTGAGAATATCTTTATTGGAAGAAAATTTCTAGCCTTGGAACCTTGCATGATGTGTTTTAGTTTCATGTACTTCTCTTTAATTTTACTGAGGCTGCCAAGTTAACATTCTGCTGTTTTTGACCAGTTCATCCGATTCTGCATTTGGGATGGACATTATCATGAGAATGCTACAAACTGGGCATCCAACAATGCTAAGTTGATCTTCAGAGTTGCAGTTTATGAGATTTAGTGTATGTTTTATTCCACTTTAGGTGAGACAAAAGTGATTCCTAGAATAATAGAATTGATTTTTTTTAATTTTTTTTCGATTTTTTTCAATTTTTTTCAATTTTTTTCGATGTTCGGTAGGGAGTCGGTGACCATTTCGATTGTCGCCCTCCGGGCCGCTCGAACTTATGCCCAATGATGAGTTGAACTGAGGGCTGAGCTTCTTCTAATTCTTGACTTTTAACCTCCAAACTCCTTCTGCAATGGTTTATTCTAATTATCAGTTGTGTTGTTTTGACAGGTTGGAGCGTGAGCCTCGAAAGGATAGCCATGAAGCTTTGTCGAGTTTTCCTTGAAGTCCTCAATATCTGAGCATCCCTTAAGTTTGTACACGTGTTGTTCTTGATGTTTTCTTTTTGTCTTTACAAGTTTTCAAACGAGTTGAAAACTTATCAAACCAATGTGCTTATTGCAGGATAATGATGGCTGTCAAGAGTAAGATTCTGTTCTCAACTCGAGATACGACTCGATCTTCTCAGAAATTGTGCAGGAGCTTTCTTCAAAACTTGTTTCGTGGATGGTTTCGGTTTATGCTTGTGGAAGGTACATTCTAAGTCTGAATGATACCTTGATCCCTTATTGTCGTGAAGGTTGCGAAGGCATCGTTCGAGTTGGGTCAGCGGACACTCAGAGTTGTTTTGTGATTGTTCAAAGTAAAGCTTACGAAGTTGTGACGAGTGAAGTCGTGGGCGTGGTACGAGTCAATAACGTAAGATGATTGTTCTGTTGTATGTTGTTTGCTGCTGTATTCGGTATCCTCACCAACATATTCATATATTCCTCTATATTTGTGCAGGAACTCTGATCTTTGTGGATTCAATAAGCTCTCTTGCGTGATTTGCCTATGGATGCCTGTGGCTCCATTGAGTTATTGCCACCAGCCGCCAACAATTGTTATGTTCTGAAATTTGGCGGTAAGAAAATGATTCCTGTCATGGAGCATGATTTGGCTGGACTCTCTATGAGCCCGGATATTAAGTTTACGGTGTCTCAGGTATTAACTTTGCCTTTGGCGATTGCGATTAAGTTTATGATTCAGAAATGAATATTTTCTTAATTTGGAACTTCTTTAGATTAAATGCTACATGCATCAGCTATTGTCTAGACTGGAACACTGTCACAACCGTAATGTGCTGCATCGTGATATAAAGGGATCGAACCTTCTTGTTGATAATGAAAGAGTTCTTAGGATTGCTGATTTTGGATTGGCTTCCTTCTTTGATCTTAAACACAAGCAACCTATGACTAGTAGGGTGGTTACTTTATGGTATCGATCTTCTGAACTTCTTCTAGGAGCCACCGATTATGATGTAGGCGTGGACCTGTGGAGTGCTGGTTGTATCCTTGCTGAATTGTTGGCTGGAAGGCCTATTATGCCTAGTCGAACCGAGGTAATCTCTAACACTAATTTGAATTTGCTGCAGTCACAATAGTTAGCACATCAGTGACCATTGGATCGAGATCGGGTGAAACAGCTGCATGCTATAGTTTCTGATATAATATGCTTTCATGCTTCATAGGTGGAACAGCTGCATAAGATATTTTAGCTATGTGGTTCTCCTTCTGAAGAATATTGAAGAAGGGCAAAGCTACCACATGCTACCATCTTTAATCCTCGACAATCATATAAGCGGTGCATCGTAGAGAAGTTCAAAGAATTTCCGATATCATCATTGCCATTAACTGAAACCCTTCTAGCAATTGATCCAGCAGAACGCCAAACTGCCACTGCTACATTGCACAGCGAAGTAAGACAATAATCTAGTTGCTAAATTTATCTTGCGAAATCACATAGATCCTATGTGCTTGAAATCATTAATGTTCAATTATTTTAACATAAGGATCTTAGTTTACTGTTACTTTTTTCCGTTTTTGCAGTTCTTTACAGCACAACCTTATGCTTGTGAACCCTCTAACCTTCCGAAATATCCTCCCAGTAAGGAGATGGACACAAAGCTAAGGGATGAAGAAGCTAGAAGGTGAACGAACCGCTTAAACTGCATTCGAAGTCTAGCCAAAATTTCTCTAACAATCGCTTTCATCATTTTAATTTCAATGTTTTATAACTTCAGATTAAGGGCCACTGGCAAAGGTAATGCTGCTGGCAGTAAGAAGTTGGTTGTTGGCTGTTCAGAAGATGATATGATTTTTTCAGGCCAATCTTTAAGGTTTCTTATTTTGATGATGTTTTGATAAGCACGTACTTGGTGCTTTAGAATTAACATGCACGTGTTTGTTTGTGTATTAGTATTATTAATATACGTAATTATGTTTATGAGTTGCTGGTTTATTTTATTTGATAATTAGGGGTTTTACTGTGATCTGTGTTGTGTGATTTTTTTTTGGGTGTAATTTGTTGATTGAGTTGGATAGTCTGATTTGGGGATAAATTGTTAAATGGGAAAGCTGCACCTGATTTGTGTGATTATCCACAAAAAAAAACAACTTCTTAGGTTGGTTAGTTATACCTGATTTAAGAAAGTAAGTTCTTAAGTCGGGTATAAATAGTTTCTTTAGGCTAGACTTATTAAGTCGGGTTCTGTCTAACCGACCTAATAATAGTTTTTTAAGTCAGGTCCACAACCAACTTAAGAAGTCAAAACTACTTATGTCGGTAATTCTTAGGTCGGGCTCGGACCCGACTTAAAAAGTCATTTTTAACCGACTTAAAAAGCCTTTTTTCCACTAGTGGACCATGCTTTGGAAATTGCTGGAGTTGGTACTTTCAAAATGAAAATATATGATGGTACTATCCGCACACTTCAAGGGGTACGACATGTGAAAGAATTGGCGAAGAATTTGTTGTCTATTGGGCAACTAGATGACCGCGGATGCAAGATCCATGTTCAAGATGGGATCTTAAAAGTGGTGAAAGGTTCGCTAGTAGTGATAAAAGCAGAGAAGGTCGTTGCAAATCTATACATGCTTTTGGGAGAAACGATGAAAATAGCATATGCATTAGTAGTAGTTGGAAGCCAAGAAGAAACAACGATGATATAACATCGGAGACTAGGCCATATGTCAGAACGAGGCTTGAAAGTTATTGCAGAACGTAATCTCATATCCGATCTAAAGTCGGTAAATTTACCTTTTTGTGAGCATTGTGTGATAAGTAAGCAGCATAGACTAAAGTTTTCTAAGTCAACTGCTAGAAGCAAACACATACTAGACTTGATTCATTCTGATGTGTGGGAGTCACTAGAAATGTCCATTGGAGGAGAAAAATATTTTGTATCATTTATTGATGATTACTCCAAGAGACTATGGGTGTACCCAATAAAGAACAACTCAGATGTGTATTTAGTATTCAAGGAGTTCAAAGCACAAGTAGAACTTGAAACTGGGAAAAGAATTAAGTGCTTGAGGACAGATAATGGAGGAGAATATACTGATGGTGATTTCCTGACATATTTCAAGCAAAAAGGTATTAATCAGCAATTTATTGTTGCTCATACACCTCAGCAGAATGGTGTAGCAGAGCAGATGAATAGAACTGTCCTGGAGAGGAAGAGAGCTATGCTAAAAACAACAGGATTGGCACAGTCTTTTTGGGCAGAAGCTGTTAAAACTTCCTGCTACGTGATAAATCGATCGCCGTCAACTGCGATTGATTTAAAGATAATAATGGAGATGTGGAAGGGAAAATCAGGTGATTATTCTTCTTTGTATGTATTTGGATGTCCTGTGTACGTGATGTAAAACTCCCAAGAAAGAACAAAGTTGGACGCAAAATCTAGGAAATGCACATTCTTAGGTTACGCTGACAATATGAAGGGGTATCATCTGTGGGATCCCGCTGCCCACAAGATTATTTTTAGCAGAGATGTAATCTTTGTAGAAAATGAACTACATAAGGAGAAAAAAGTAAACAACACTATAAAGGAGACTACTACAGTGGAAATGAAGGAAAAGTCATGAGAAAATAATTCTTCTAAAGTAGAGACATATCACGAAGAACAAGAACTAACTGAGGTCAATAATGTAGATCCTAGAAGAACCACACGTCAGATAAGAAAACCATCCTGACACTCAGAATATGTGATGGCAAGTCATGATGCATATTGTCTTCTATCAGAAGATGGAGAACCATCAACCTTTCATGAGGTATTAAATGGTTAAGATGCTTCTCTGTGGATGACATTAATGCAAGAGAAAATTGAAGCCTTACATAGAAATAACACATGGGAACTTGTTGGACTTCCTAAAGGTCGAAAACCCATCGACAACAAATGGGTGTTCAAAATTAAGCGAGATGACAACGATCAGGTGGAACGATATTGTGCAAGACTGGTGGTCAAAAGATATGCTCATAAAGAAGGTATTGATTTCAATGAGATATTTTCTCTAGTGGCAAGACTCACCATAATTAGAGTGGTTTTGGCGATGTGTGTTGCATTTGATTTAAATCTAGAGCAGCTTGATGTAAAGACTGCCTTTCTTCATGGATAACTTGAAGAGGAAATATATATGCCCCAACCCGAAGGCTTTGAAGAACAAGGAAAAGAAAACTTGGTTTTTAGGTTGACCAAATCTCTATACGGTTTAAAACAGGGGCCAAGGTGTTGGTACAAGAGATTTGATTCCTTCATCATGAGCCTTGGATACAACATATTAAGTTCAGACCATTGTACGTATTATAAAAGGTTTGATGATAATGATGATTTTATCATTTTGCTGTTGTATGTGGATGACATGTTGGTGGTAGGCCCCAACAAAGATCGAGTCCAATAATTGAAGGCACAAATGGCTAGGGAGTTTTATATGAAGGCCTTGGGACCAGCAAACAAGATTTCAGGGATGCAAATCCACCGAGACAGAAAAGAAAGAAGGATTTGGCTTTCTCAGAAAAATTATCTTCAGAAAGTCTTGTGCCGCTTTAACATGCAAGACTGTAAGCTAATCTCTACTCTACTTCTTGTCAATTATAAATTATCCTCAAGTATGAATCATATCAATGAAGTGGAAAGGATGGAAATGTCTCGTGTACCGTATGCATCAGTGGTGGGAAGCCTTATGTATTCTATGATATGTACTAGACTATATATTGCTCAAGCAATTGGAACGGTCAGTCGGTTTATGGCAGATCCAGGTAATGAACACTGGAATGTTGTTAAGAGGATCCTTAGATACATCAAAGGAACCTCAGGTGCTGCATTATGTTTTGGGGGATCAGAATTTACTATCAGAGACTATGTTGATTCATATTTTGCAGACGACCTTGATAAAAGAAAAACTACTACTGGCTATGTGTTCACACTTGCAGGAGGAGTGGTAAGCTGGTTATCCAAACTACATATTGTTGTAGCTTTGTCTACTACAAAATATGAATACATGGCCACTAACCAAGCATGTAAGGAAGCAATTTGGATTCACAGGTTATTGGAAGAACTCGGGCACAAGCAACAAAAGATTACTGTGTACTGTGGCAGTCAGAGTGCCTTGCACATTGCAAGGAATCCAACTTTTCATTCTAGGACAAAACACATAGGAGTTCAATACCATTTTGTCATAGAGGTAGTAGAAGAAGGAAGTGTGGATATGCAGAAAATTCACACTAAAGATAACCTAGCAGATGTAATGACGAAGCCGATTAACTCTGATAAATTTGCAAGGTGTAGGTCTTCCTATGACCTATTAGAGGCGTAATCAGCATGGAGTTGGCAAGTTAGAGAAGATTTTGGAAGATCACAAATGTGTCTTTAAGTGGGAGATTGTCAAAGATTGTGGTCAAAGTCAAAGATTATGGTCATGGTAAAAGATTATGGTCAAGGATTGTGGTTGAATAAAGTCACAATTTGTGGATCTAGAAAGAAACACTCGTGGTTTTGTAACAACTCCCATGGTTCCTTTCTCATTCCTAACACAACAACACAACATTGCAACATAATATAAAAGAAAAATTTAGAGAGTTATAATATATTGTATTTTCTCCTATAAGGTTCTTTTAGTGAGTGTTCTCATATTACAAGAGAGAGTGTAATTTGTTCTCTCCTTGTATATATAGAGAGAGAAGTGTTGTAATTTCTTCCACTTAGTGAAAATCTTTTCTACCGCTGCCCATGGTTTTTCCCTTATTTGTTGAGGGTTTTCCACGTAAATATTCGGTGTCAATTTTCCTACTCCTTGATCTATTACTTGTGATATTTATCTTGCTACTCTGATACCTAACATAACCATGAGATAAAAGAACTGATCTTTATATTTTGTTACAGGAACATTCTGAGTTGATCAACAATCATACGACTTACCAACAAGGTTTACTTCCTTAGATAGCCGACTCTTTATAAAAATTGTTGAGCACACAGTACATGCAATGCAAGTTTCAGAAAATGAGAGAAACCCTCTCTTCTAGTTTTCCCTCACAAACCCTAATCGAGCTACAATTCAAGGTAATGGAAAGAGGCAAACAGATAGTAACAAATGAAGATGGATGATCCAAAGTTTCTACTAATTATTCTGCCAGGAGAAACAACAGGTTGGATTCTCAAAGATGAAGGCAAAAGACCTTTATCTATTTCTCAAAGAGTATGGGGAGATAAATGAAGTG